ATGCAGGCATCCTCCAGACAAAGGTGAAAACTAGAGAATGGGACAAAAATATAGACCCTTCTTGCTTATCTGAAACAGGAAAAACAAAGGGAAAGTTTTGTTGGGTGATTTCAATAATTCAAACCACACTATGGTTTACTTGCATATTTACATAATTACATAAGTTAAACTCTTTCTCCTGAGTCATTACTTCCTCCAGATCACTTCCAACCCACTTCTGGACTATCAAGTCAAAGATCTCTCCTGCATGCTCTCCTAACTCTGTTCTTCTTAGCAGTGGTTATCCGTGTTATAGATGTTCATATCTTTGTTCAAGTGCTTGATAAGTGTGTCTTATCCCTCGACTGTGGGCCACTCACAGGCAGGAAGCAAGTCTGGATGTTGCTTCCCTTGGTATGCTCAACCCCAGCACAAGGCCTGGCATATGGCAGGCACTCGATAAATGTTGGTTTAATGAAGAATGTTGAATGAACATAATGATCAGAGATAGGCAATTAACTACAAGGAAGACTCCTTTGTTTCTTTGTGTGGCTCTCCAAAATAAGTTAATGCTGTTTAGCAGGAGATCATGGTTCTATATTCTACTGTGTCTCCTTGAAAAATCCAGAAAGGTACATGCACCCAAATAACATTAATAATATTAATGATTTCAGGCTGGGGTGTGGCTCAATGGTAGAGCACTTGCCTAGCACATGTAAGGCACTGGGTTCCATCCTCAGCACCACATATAAACAAATAAATAAATAAAGTTATGTCCATCTACAAGTAAAAAAAATTTAAATATTAATAATTTAAATATTAATAATTTCTAATTTAAAATATGGAATCTAGACATTCTTATTAGCTTAGCTTTGGCCTACTTACTTCACTCTGGTTTTTATTGATTACTTAGAGAACCTAGGATGGAAAATTATGAAGGTAAAAACCTATGATGTTTCTGGCCATCAAAAATTTTATGTAGGGGCTGGGGTTTATGGCTCAGCAGTAGAGTGCTTGCCTCACACATGCAAGGCCCTGGGTTTGATCGATCCTCAGCACCACATAAAAATGAATAAATAAATAAAATAAAGTTTAAAAATTATGTAAAAAAATAATAATAAAGCTTCTGTACCTGATATCCTCTTGGTATTGAAACATTTATGCTGGGGGAAAAAATCAAGAAATTGTGAGAAAGATCTCAGAGAGACAATTTATGAAGGTTACACATGGGGTAGAACATGCATGACATCAAAATAAATATTAAATCTCTCTTGAGTTTTCCTGAACTGTCTATATCCCAAGGCTGTGTGTGAGGAAACAGATGTGGGTTTTTTTTCTCCCAACAGCAAAACCCGATTTYGGTGGATCCAGGAGAGCAGCTCACAGAAGAACGTGCCTCCATTTGGCTTAGATGGAGTGTACATATCTGAGCCTTGTCCCAGTTACTGCAGTGGCCATGGGGACTGCATCTCAGGCGTGTGTTTCTGTGACCTGGGGTACACTGGTAAGGCCATATACATGAGTTTAATGGTTTGCTTGTATAATGTTCGTCTCTAGTCAATAATTTCATGTGATTCTTTCAAAGAAGTTGATGCTGAGTTTATTCTTCTTTAAGTCTAAGAATTGTAAGATTTTGCCATTTAGGAACATGAGTTAAAGATATTTTATAAGGCTGGGGTTGTAGCTCAATGGTAGAGCACTTGCCTTGCAAGTGTGAGGCACTGGGTTCAATCCTCAGTACCACATAAAAATAAAATAAAATGAAATAAAGGTATTGTGTCCACAAATAACTAAAAATAATTTAAATAAAAAAATATATTTTGTAGTTTGAAGCTGCTTAAGGAAGAAAATATGATGTCACAAATTTAACTCCCTAGAGATTTATTATTAATAGCAACCATAATGAACATTGCTTGGGACCCTTCTTCATCCTAAGCACTGAAGTAAGTGCTTTTTATTTCACCTCATTTAATTCTAACATAACCCCTGTGCCGCAGTACTATAAAATCTACTTACATTTGAGGAAACTGAGGTACAGAAAGACTTTATACATTTCTTCAGGTCACACAGCTAGGAGTTGCTAGAGTTGGGCTTCAAACTCTGGCAGTCATTCTCCAGAACCTAAACATAGGCTCTTAACCACTTGGCTGCAGGGTCTCCCTGCGCCCTTTACATTGCTTTTGTTTAAAAAGAAATATAATTGGAGGGGCTGGGGCTCAGCAGTAGAGCGCTCACCTAGCACGTGCGAGGACCTGGGTTCAATCCTCAGCATCACATAAAAATAAAGATATTGTGTCCAACTACAATTAAAAAATAAATTTAAAAAAAGAAGTATAATTGTGTGCATTTAAAGCAAAAATACAACTTATAATAATAAATGGAAGATTTCCCAAAGAAAGCATTGCAAAAGAAGTATTTTCTAACCACAGTCACCTTTGAATGTTACTATAAGCAAAAATGAAAAGGGAACTGAGATTAAAGAGTAAAACTGAAGAAAACATTATAAGCTTCAAAATCATTTCTGAATTTTTCCTGGGAGCAACTTCAAAGGCTCCTTCCCAGCTTGTTGTGCTCTGGCCGCCTCTGGCACATAACCAAAGGCAGACTCGCTGTTGCAGGCCTTCTGTGGAGAGTGCTGTCATTTATAGTTTCAGAGGGTGGTATTTTTTTTTWTTTAATCCAGAACTAACYCCCCTTGTTGATCCTCTAATAGAAGGACAATAAATGAATAAACTTAACTATGGACAAAATCTACTTCTCAGTTTACACAGATCCTCTGGTTAGCAAGAACTGTGGAGATGCATCATTCCCAAAGTCTATCATTATTAAAAAAAAATGTAAAAATACAGAAGCAGAATAGCATTTATTTTTATTTTTTAGTTATAGATGGACACAATACCTTTATTTTATTTATTTAGTTTTATGTGGTGCTGAGGATCAGACCCAATGCCCCATGCATGGTAGGCAAGTGCCCTACTACTGAGCTACAACCCCAGCCCCAGATAGATTTTTTAAAATTTATTTATTTTTGCATTACAATTCTTAATACACCATGATATCATAAGTTATCATATCTCTGGTTCAGAGTAGAATTTTTGATGATAGTAGTGATAATAGGTTGTCTTTCAGGCAGATCATTGTAAGATACAAATTTCTATGTAGCTTCTTTCTCCTAATACCTGTGGAAATTCTTTCTTTGTCCATGTATTGAATATACCTTTTAATGTTTAGTGATTCCAACAAAGCTCCTATGTTTTTTTTTCTCTAAAGCTGCACAAGGAACCTGTGTGTCAAATATCCCTAATTACAGCGAGATGTTTGATAGGTTTGAGGGGAAGCTCAGCCCTCTGTGGTACAAGATAACTGGTGGCCAGGTTGGAACTGGCTGCGGAACCCTTAATGATGGCAAGTCTCTTTATTTTAATGGCCCTGGGAAAAGGGAGGCAAGAACTGTCCCTCTGGACACCAGAAATATCAGGTAAGTTATTAGTTGGTATACTTCTCCATGAACATAGTATGGACCACACCATGTGGCCAACCTAAAACATTCTGTTTTACTATGGAGAATTGATATTTTATATCAATTTCTATGTACAGATTAATGGTTCTATATACAGATTATACTATGTAAAATTGAAGCATATCCTTAGCTCAATAATTAAATAAATGTGTACTACAAAAGTCATACCATAATTTATCAATCAGCATACAGGAATCACCGAAGCTTATACACCTAGTATATATTTAACTTGGTTTCTAAAGTTATTTGTAATTATTAAAAAAGGTCCTTGATATTATACTTGTATGTGCTGTTGAAACAAAGATTTTTTTCAACTTTAAATTCCATGTCTGAAAATGATCCTCATTTATCTAAATTTATTAATCATCACTTATTGAAAACTACCCCAGAAATTTAAAATACTTACACTGTCACCTACTGGTAGTATAAAGAACTGTTTGGTTTTTAAGGTCAAAAGAAGTAATAGTAGCACACCTAAAATRAAATTCTGCTCTTTTCCATCCATTAAATTATTAGAGAACAGGTAGAAAAGGACACTTAAACCTGGGTTTCCCTTTTATGTGGTTTGCTGACTTCAATCTCTTTACATGTCCTTCCACATTCTTTTCTTATGTCAAACAGTCTTACTTATGTCAAACAGTCTCCTCTGATTGCTGTACTTATGTCAAACAGTCTCCTCTGATTGCCATGGACAGAGTCAAAATTACATAACACTGAGTGAGACTCAGTTGTGAAAACTTTAGCCAACTGAATCTAAATCAATAATAGATAATTATCTGGCCCTAAACAAATATAGTGTTCAACTTCTTAGTATTAGATATTTTTTTTCTCTCTCTCATTTGAATGTCCAGAAATGGTCTTATCTAGATTTAAGAAATTTCCCATTAGAGTATATCAGACCATCACAATGAAAGGGGATTAAATTGTTTTATTTCTTTTTTTAGATCATTTTACAAAATAAGATAAATGACCATATTAATTAACTTCATCTAAATAATTAGAGTTAACTTATTACGATATGTACTTATTTTTGTCTGTCATATGTCCCTTAGGCTTAAAAGTAATACTTAAGAATTACAGAGTTTTTTCTTTCTATGTCAAAATATAAAGGGTTAAAGCTCTTCTAAGAATTCACCTATTTGTAAGTAAACTGAGGGTTTTTTTTTTTCCTTCTCCTTCTCCAGGCTTGTTCAGTTTTATATACAAATTGGAAGYAAAACTTCAGGTATTACCTGCATCAAACCAAGGGCTAGAAATGAAGGTAAGTGGGTATATTTCCATAGAAATGACAGTTTATATAGGCAAATTAGCCCCTTTTCTACCCAAAATTTGGTCTGGATTATACAAACTGATACATTACACTGAATCATGTCTTGCCTTCTTTTATCCTTAATGGAAAGGGTGACAACACAGAGTCATAGTTCAAATGTTTTATACAGATCCTTAGGCCTGAAAAATACCATGACTGCTCTGAGTGCAGGTAGGGTCAAAGTTCATTTGCTTTAGAGAGCTCAATTTCATTATAAGTCTCCACTTGGAGGGGCGAAAAGGAAGTGAGAATTAAAACTTGTTGGCATAGGGCATTATTATTATTTTTTTAATTGTTTTCTTTAATTTTCTATTTTTATAATTTTTTTCCTTTTTATTGGTTCTTTTTATTTATATATAACATTTAGGTTCATGTTGACATACTTTTTATTGAATACAGATTGAACTCTACTTCTGCTCCTCAAAATTCTGTAGGAATCCTTATGTGAGAGGAACAGTTCTATAGATATTAACTTTTATTAAAAATTTATTAATTAATTTTTCTTAATGTCTATATAACTACAGAACATTAACTTTTACTGAGCACCTATTACATGCAAGGCACTGTGTCTGAGTCTTTTACTGGTGTTAAATTGTTTCATCTCCATGGTATTCCTTTGCTGTCCCTAGTATCATTATTAATCCTATTTTACAGGTGTAGACACTGAGACACAGAGAGGTCAAGTAACTTACCCACAACCATGCATTTAGTAAGTGGATGAACAAGGATTCAAACCACTCACATCAGCTCCCCAATGTATACCTTAACCATCATACTATACTTCCTCTCTCCTTACCCTGAATCCTCACTAGGCTCCTTACCATCTTCTGCCCCCAAAAGACTCAGTTCTGAAAGAAATGCAAAGCCTTGAAGCTCTGCAGATAGAATGGGATTCTTTCAGGAACCCAGAATATGAGGTGGTTCCTAAAACTCCATAGATTTCTCAGATGGGTTCTTCTCAACAGTGTGGCCTCAGAAACAATATGTGCAGAGTTTTACAGGATTATTATCTAAGTGTGTTATTATGTCAGGTGTGACTGTGTAAAACATACTGACTTAAACAGCACCTGTTAGTCAGCAGAACCACTAAGAGCGCTGTTCATCAACTCAAAATTTCCAGTAACTGAAAGCTTTAATGACTTCTGAGCATCTCAGTACTTTAGTCTAGTGATTATCCAAATCATCTGTCTACTAAAGTAGCAGTCTGGAAATTTGTATAGAATATTTGCATTCTTTGATTTCTTCTACAGATATTTATTGAGAATCCATTCTAAACCAGACACTGTTCTAGGTGCTGCAGATACAATGTCACCGAAACATAGATGCATCAGTCATGATGAGCCAGGCTCTGCTAGAATAAAAACCCTCTACCTACGTATGGGTTAAAACAAGGGTTTTTTTTTTCCTTGTGCTACATTTTCTTCATGGGTCATCCGAGGTCCTCATCCCAGCTCACAAGATCGTGAAGCATCTACTGGGTAGATTCTGAATGTTGTCAGCCATGTCAGTGAAGGGGAAGAGAAGAAAGCACAAATCTACCTTGTGTCAGGAGCAGCCRGGGTAATRCTAATGACCACCTTCAAGGAACTTAAAATCTAGTGGAAGGAGTCAGATCACAAACAATAAAGAAAAGAAATAAGTCAGAAACTGTTAGCTGATAGGAGTTAGRCAGAAACAGGTTGAGCTGGAAAGTAAACAATACCAGGTGAGGTGCCAATTTAGGTAGAATAGTCTAGGTATGACTTACCAAGGAAGTGMCATTTAATAAATYGAAATCTAAGGGAAGTTTACATGCATGGCTCTTATGGAAATTTCRTATTTGTRCCCTGGTTTTTATATAAGCAAAAAAGCAGAAAGAAAGAAAAAGAAAGAMCCTGAACCTAGCCCARTAGGAAGCATCTGCTTATCATGGACATGATGCTTTGCTCTATACTTAACTTCTGATTACAAGTGCCGTTGTCTGCCCTGTGGGGCAAATTCCCCTTAGGATCCCTTTAGGAAGAAGTAACTTGTTCCCAGCTAGTCCTGAACCATTTTCTTAGACTCAATATGGGCCATGTAATTCACATCCCACAGGCATTTCTCAGCCTTTTATTGAAAACTGGTTGTTAACATGTAAATCTGCCTAAATCCTTGAACAAATCTCTTCCAGTGATGAAAGTGAAGATTCTTTACTTACTCAAGCTGAAGCATCAATTTACMTATTTGGAATTAAAGTCAAAATTAGGCTGTTTTCCATAAGGCTCGGCAGAATGCAGATGGAGTTGTAGTTTAAAARGAGAAATGTTTTACATGCCTTAAACATTCAGTAGATGAGCTAAAATGGCTTGGTTTATTCAGAYGTACAATGTGTTAGATGACACAGCTAATGAGGCTGAGCAACTGATATCAAATATGGATATTGCTCTTCCCCTCTTCCATTCCTCCACCACGCTCTCTTACTTCTCTGGGAGGCACTTCTTCATTGTCCTCTGGAATTGAGGTTTCATCCCTGTAGATCTTGWTGCTGCCGGAAGGTATATGTGACTCTCCTGAAGAAGCTAGTGAGGAGAGGGAAAGGAGCGGAGACCCAGGGAAGGACGTACCTTCTGAGCCACGCAGCTCCTACTTTCGGTACACCTGAAATCATTTGGGATTTGCATTTGTTAAAATGCAAATTCTGATTGAGTAGGACTGGGGTGGTATGCTCCATAACAAATTATCCTAAAATGGAGTAGCTTCAAACAACAAACATGTTTCTGTGAGTCAGGAAGTTGGGAACAGCTTAGCTGAGTGGTCCTGACTCAGGATCTCTTGTGAGGTTACAGTTAAGACAAAGTCCAGGATGGGGGCAGTCATTGGAGATGTAGTCTGTTTCCAGGATGRCATACTCACATGGCTGTTGGCAGAGGCTTCCGTTCTTCTCTGGCTTTGGCAAGAGGCTTTAGAGCTTCTCTGTATAGACCTGTCCATAGGTTGCCTTACTTCACTGGCTTTCTCCAGAGCAAGGCACCTGAGAGAAAGCAAGGAAGAAACTTACACTCTTGGTAGGAGGGGGATCAAACCAAGGTGTCACTCATGGTAGGCAAGCGCTCTACCACTGAGCTWYAGCCYCCCACCCCWGATGCAATGTCTRTAATGACCTAGTCATAGAAGTCATACTCCATGGCTCCTACCACACTTTGTTCTTTAGAAGCAAGTTACTAAATCCATCCAACTCAAAGGGAAGAGAATTAASYTYCATTTTTTTKAAGGGAGGAATGTCAAAGAATTTTGGACRTATTTTATAAATCATCACAGATAAGGCCTGTTCCAAGGTGATGCAGGTCCTGATCTTGGATTGTGCTTTGAGTGGAAGGGAAGAGACGGATCTGTCAATGAGATTTTATTCTCATGATGCTTCATTTCTGGATCTACCTTCTAAATAGGTCACCTTCAAACAGCTATCTTAATACTCTCTTTCTCTTCATAGATACACACACACACACACACACACCTTCATCTTTCTCATGGTATTAAATATAAACCATAATAATACAAATTAGTAGACACAAGAAAACTAAATTTTGAAATGTCTACACTCTTATCCATCCTTTACACTACAAAGTCAATAGGAGATAATTTGAGCAAACATTAAGGGTTAGAGACTAGAGCTTTTGCCAGACAGTCCTCAACTTGACTAGAATAAAGACTAGAAACAGCCAAGATTCCATTTTCTTCATGACTTTCCCTTCCCCAACACATGGAAAAGCTCCAACTCCTATCCCTACACCTGTGTACAGCAAGCTGTCTCCCCAAAGACGCCCTGTGCTTCAAGCCATTTTTATCCTCTCATTGTTTGGTAGGTTCTTCTATTTGAAATTTAGTAGATTTAATTCTTTTGAGATTTCTAATTTTTAGCATATATATGCTTTATTATTATTTCTGGCTTTATTCCTTGTCAGACCTGGTAACCATAATTCCATATGCTATTAATTAGCATTAAACAGCTTTCATTTGGCTATATTTTTCATCCTAATATTTCTTGAAACTTTATTTTAGTGAACTTTTATTATCTAACATGATAAAGGGATGGAGAAGTTCTAGTCACTCAATAATAGGGAAATTAAAATGTTACAGATACCAAAAAGGATTTATAGTTTTCCAAGAGTAAGAATATAATAAAATAAATATAACAAGTATATTTTTACTGAGCATAATTTCTGTGAATTATGAAATTATTAGAAAGTAGTTCAGTGTCCTTGCTGAGGGCCACAGCTGAGTCGGGATGACCGTGATGACGCATGGCATTTTTGCCAGAAGTAGTGGTTGAGAGGTGACGCCAGCGAGCCATTAAGATGATGACTTTTGAGTTCTCTCGGAGTTCCTGTTGAGTTCCGATTGAGCTCTCGCGGGGATTCCTGAAGAGTTCGAATTGGTTGGGGAAGTGCCAGAGGAGGGATATTCTGGTTGGTGGTTCCTGGAGGAGCCTCGTGGCGTTCGGGGAGAGTTCCCGGGGAGCATGTGTGGAGTGTGCTGGTGGAGTTCAGAAATAAAGTTTGTTCCTGCTCAAGTGGCTCATGATTTGTGCCCAGCCAGACTGCGGCAGTCCTCAGTCATAATTACTAATATGCTGTTCCTATGCAAAGTAGGCATTTAGATAGGACCTCTGCTCCCTCTCCTTCATATATTTTATATCTATTTTTTTCCTAAAACTGGTGCTGAATTACACAAATATCTTTTTCATGGTTAAAGTGTGGCAAAGTTTATAGGAACAAAAGCACTCTCAAGATGGAGGGGGAGAGAGTGGGTCATCTCTGAAAGGAGAGACCAAAGACAATCYTCCCTCCCTGATAGTCTGAAATTGACCAAATTGTGCATATACATATACATATYCATATACATATATGAATATACCATAGTGAATTCCAGCTTTACGAATATCTATGAAGCACTAATTATAAAACCTAAATAAATAGAAGGAAGACTAGCAGGGTAGAGGAAGGGGTCTGGGGGGAGGGCTAGGGGAAGTACTGGAGACTCTTGAAGTGAAGCAAATTATATTCCATGATGTATGACTGTGTCAAAAGGAGCCCCAATATTATGCATAACTATAATGTACTAATAAAAAGTAAAGATAGCCAGGAGTGGTGGTGCATACCTGTAATCCCAGTGACTCTGGAGGCTGAGGCAGGAGGATTGTGAGTTCAAAGCCAGCCTCAACAACATCAAGGTGCTAAGCAACTCAGTGAGACCCTGTTTCTAAATAAAATACTGGGGATATGGCTCAGTGGCTGAATGCCCCTGAGTTTAATCCCTGATACTCCCCCCCCCCAAAAAAAAGTAAAAGTAAATATATAAAAATATTTCTGGGTGAAACAGCAGAAGTAGCACATGAGGTCCTTACACATTAATTGCCAAGATTGTGTCACGCTATCGACAGGGAGATGTGTAGATAGGATAAGCATCGGGAAAAAAGAGTGACAGGAGAAAGACAAGCACAGGTCACACTGGAGAGAAGTATTTCTGCTTCGCTATTTAATCATTTGACCCTATTCAAGCTTCTTTAATTGAGATCTGCCAAGTGCAAAATGCTAGTTAAAGAGTCTTAGAAGTCCAGACTGAGCAGAGCTTACTGCCCGATGCTTTGGCAGCAGAGTGCCTCTTGATTTTGTGCCAGGAAGATTGAGATATTTCTTCTGAGTATATAATAATGACAGGAGACTTTGTCATGTTCAGGACAAAATCTAAAATTCAAGTACATGATCTGGAGCGGGGGTTTTTATGGTCCCCTTACCAACCTGCTCATCACTCATACAAAGCTGAGTGGTCTTTAAAAGAGCTTATGTATTTTTGGTCTCCATTTACTGGGAGTCAGTGCATTAGAAACTGTCAAGAAATTGATGAGCCTTCGGGTCCACTAATTCATTCCTTGGATGTTAGATGGATGTGCTCTCATTCCATGAGATTCAATTTGAAGTTGCTGCAGTTTTGCCATTTAAAAAATACTGTTCCTTGCCTCTAGGAAAGCTGTCCTAGTAACTGAATTTATGTCTTATAACTCAGGGCTTGTTGTTCAGTATTCAAATGACAATGGGATACTCTGGCATTTGCTTCGAGAGTTGGACTTCATGTCATTTCTGGAACCACAGATCATTTCCATTGACCTGCCACGGGAGGCAAAGACACCTGCAACAGCTTTTCGATGGTGGCAACCACAACATGGTAAGTCATTGCTCATCCCAATTTTGATGGTAGCTTTCAGATTGTATAGCATCCATATCCATCTTATATTATGTGTTTCTTAATTTGCTGTCGATTTCTAGACAATTCGATTTAAAATCATGGTCACAAAGATATTCATATTGCTCTATAATGAACTTTCTCCAATGGCCTTTATTCATCTGATTGCAGGGAAGCATTCAGCCCAGTGGGCTTTGGATGATGTCCTTATAGGAATGAATGACAGCTCTCAAACTGGATTTCAAGACAAATTTGATGGCTCTATAGATTTGCAAGCCAACTGGTATCGAATCCAAGGAGGTCAAGTTGATATTGACTGTCTCTCTATGGATACTGCTCTGATATTCACTGAAAACATAGGTATATATTATCACTAGATAAAGGAGGATATTTCATTAAATAGAGAACTAAATTAGCTAAAACTCAAAAGTAATTCTCTAATATAAAACTGTGTGCCTAACTGCTTTTGTTTAGGGAGGCTCTTGTGGGATCAAAATATTGTCCTCTGAAATAACTTAGTGAGCCCAGTGACTCTTTTGTTAAAACTGCCTTTCAGCGAACATAATAGGAAAAAGATTTCTTAAAGGCGGGACCAACATATCTGTATGATGGCATTTGTGTGTTTCATAATTTGCAAAATTATAAACTTGACTCTTTATCAATCCTTTTAAGATGGTAAGACTTTTCAAGTCGGCAGACTTCCATATTTCCAAGTCTGTGGTAACCATATAGAAACAGTAAATGTGACAAGAAAAGTCAAAGCCCTATGAGGCACTAAAGATGCGTGATTTTTGTTTACTATTGAAAATATTGATTGTAGGCATAAATGACAAGTAAGAGTACAATTAAATGCTACCACTCAACTCCACCCCCCCTTTCTCTACCTCTCCCCCCCCCCGCCTTTTTTTATTTGTTTATTTTGGTAGGAAAACCTCGTTATGCTGAGACCTGGGATTTTCATGTGTCAGCATCTACCTTCTTGCAGTTTGAAATGAGCATGGGCTGCAGCAAGCCCTTCAGTGCCTCCCACAGTGTACAGCTCCAGTATTCTCTGAACAATGGCAGGGACTGGCATCTTGTCACTGAAGAGTGTGTTCCTCCAACCATTGGCTGTCTGCACTACACAGAAAGTTCAATTTACACCTCGGAAAGATTCCAGAATTGGAAGCGGATCACTGTCTACCTTCCACTCTCCACCAAGTGAGAATTGTCATTTGGCTACATGTCAGAACTTTAGGTTTCTGTCACCTAATTTGAAAATAATTGTGATTCTACTTGGGGACTCTATTACTCTTCATGATAATTATGCATGCAGTGTGCCAGGAAGAAGAAAACTACAAGGCGCCTTGGGTTGCAGTTTTTACTGCCTAGAGTTCCAGAAGTTTTACAAGGCTGCATTTTTCTATTCCTTGGCAACATGAGGGCTCCCACCAGATTTAGTTTTCATTCTGTTGTAGAAATAAGCCTCTACCCATAAGCCAAACATACCTATTCACATTAAGCAATGTGAAATTATTGCATATCAGAGAGTACCCTTAGCTTCTAGGTTTTTTGGGGTTTGGTTTGGTTTGGTTTGGTTTTCTAATCTCAGGACCACGGTACAAATAGAGGGTGGGGTTTTGGGTTTGTTTTTATTTTTATGTATTTATATTTTGAATGCTCATCTTGTCTTGCATCTCTCTTGCCATTCCCAACATTTCAGATCACATTCAAAAGTTGTATTGACTTAGCATAGCACCCATTTTTCTTGTGGAGGCATTTGGGTTATTTGAGGATCTTTCTCTAGGACTAATGTGTACAGCAATGACTAGTTAGAAACTGTCCCATTCTGGGACCATCTCTATCCCTTAGATTTTGCCTCTCCTTTCCTGCAGAAAGTTGGCTTTTGCAGTCTCACAGCCTCCTGTATGCACTGGCTTTCTGGTAGGCTTAGACACTGTCAGACCAGGCAAGAGATGGGAGGCTGGAAATAAGTAATAAATCAGGGCATTCCCCCTCACAAACACTCCCTCATCCCTCAAGTACATCCTTGCCAACTTTTGTGGTTCCTAAATGCCCTGCCATGTGATCCTGAGCCTAGGCACCAGCAAAAATGTCTCTTCCTTATGTCCCTCCAGCTTTGGACTTGTAGTGACTTCCTAACTTTGCTAAACTCTGATTTTCTCACCACTGCTATTGACATCCGAGCTCTGCCATCATCATCCAATTTTTTGCATTAAATTCTCTTGGTGTTAACTGCTTACAGTGGTGTCTGTTTTTCGGATTTAACTGAGATTCATAGATGCACAACCAAACGGCAGGGAAAGTATAGGAAACCAAAACACATTAGCTTTTGTCCTAAAATAGTTCTCTGTGGACCCTTGGAGTTTTAAGTAATGCTTGCTTGTTACTCGCTCATTTTTTTTTTAAACCCAACAAACATGTATTAGATATCAATTGTGTTTTAAGTACTTTGGTACTAAAAGAATAAGCTAAGGCCAGGATCCAAATATATTGTTTAGATAACAGATATCTATAAACAGCTATTTATAATATAAAATAATAACAGGTAATATTCAGAGACATTAGTGAAACATAAGAGAATACTACCTAACTTAGCTTGATGGTATTGACAGGATCTTCCTGAAGGAACTCTTGTCCATCTGAGTATGAGTGAGTAGGGTCTACTCAAGTGACAAAGAACATAGGAGAGCATTCAAACAGTTGTAAGCTAGAACAAAATCCAGTTGCCAGAATATAATTTTAAGACAAGAAATTGGGAAAGATGGGTTGGACCTGGGGAGGGAGTGGATCCTGGGGAGGCTGTATTTGGCTTTCAGTGTGCAGGTGTTTGGTGGAGAATCATTGACAGAGGTTAAGCAGAATAGTAACATGATAAAAGTAACATAATAGTGAAGCCACCATGCTGACAGCTACGTAGCACTAAAAGAAAACTGGTGTGGAGAAACAGTAATACCTGAGTAGTTCAACTTCAGGTGGACCTCATTCCACATTCCAGATAACTAGCAATCTTCTGCCCTTCCTCTGTTCCTCCACTAGGGACTGTTAGTATACTCCAGATAACAGATTGCAAACACAATGGAGGCTGTGGGAATATATCACACCCTCCTAGTCCTCAGTTCTAGAGAGCCAGAACACCGAGAACCAAAAGAGAAGGCAGAAGTATGACAGGGCTTCATCTACTCTCAGAAACTACTTAGGAACAATGTAATAGGAACCTCACAACCAGAATTTTGTTAGGAGTCCAGTTTTTCCTTATTTTTTTCACCTTTGATCTCTTTCCCAGTATTGAGTAGCAGTAAAAAAAAAAAAAAACACTGAAAGTAAAATCTGCATGTATTTCAAAAACACAATGATCAATAGTTCAAAATAACTTTTCCATCTCACACATGTATACGAAAGAAATGGTAAAATATTTAAATAGCATGCTTTCTGCTCCTATTTATGGATCAAGAAGAAACAGCATCTTCTACTCAGTATAAGTTACCTCAAAGGAGAGTGGGAACTGGACCCTGGAAGAGGGCACTTCAACGAAAAATATTTTGGAAATTATTTGTCAAATCAATGATGTGTTTTCTTTGGTTAGTTCTCCCAGGACCCGGTTCAGATGGATTCAGGCCAACTACACCGTGGGTGCTGATTCCTGGGCCATTGATAATGTTGTACTGGCCTCAGGGTGCCCTTGGATGTGCTCTGGAAGAGGGATCTGTGATGCTGGACGCTGTGTGTAAGTTAATCAAATCGGAAGTTTTCTTTCTTTGCAATGCCACAGGAAACCTGGCATAGTGAACCCATGACAAATGATGCCTTTTCTCCACTCATTTTTTCCTTAGGTGTGACCGGGGCTTTGGTGGAACCTACTGTGTTCCTGTTGTTCCTCTCCCCTCAATTCTGAAGGATGATTTCAATGGGAATTTGCATCCTGATCTGTGGCCTGAAGTGTATGGTGCAGAGAGGGGAAATCTGAATGGTGAAACCATCAAATCTGGGACATCTCTCATCTTTAAAGGGGTCAGTAAGATTCTACTTCCTTACACCACTCCCAGCTGCTACCTTCATTCCCCTTTTCACTCATTGTTCCACACAAATGCATTTCTGAATCTGTTCAGATAGTGTATTATTTTATACGTAGCTTTTGTCTTTTAGCCCAAAACATGTTTCCTCGTCTATTTAGTGGTCATTTTTTTAATGCTCTCTGGGGCATGAAATTTTATTCTGCTTTGGTGATCAAATTTTCCTTACTTCCTGCTGGAATTATAAATATGCATTTAATTCTTAGAATATACTTTCCAGGAATGTAACCTTTCATGTTATTAAGCAGTTGGTTTGCTTGTTTTTTAATGGTTTTTCTTTTCTTTTCACTTTTCTTCCTGATGATAGAACTTCTTGGTGGCCACTTTAAGAAAACCAAACATTTAAGTCAAGTTAAGTGGCATTCTCAAACACTGTTAGTATATTTTCATATTTCATCCTAGATGTCTTACCAGAGAAATGTTAAGCAATTGATAAAAATCTGTGCTCAGCTGGCACATCTCCATGTATGAATACATGCTACATCCCATCCCTCTCAGCATGGGGAAATTGACTAATCTAGGTGTGCAAATGAAATCGTTGACAAAAATCTGCATGGGTTTATACACAACCTTAATGACTAATACCTAACACTCAGAAAATTAGACACCCTGGAACTTTTTCAATTATAGTTAATAGTTGGCAGTTATCATCTTTTTTGAACCCAAATTCTTCACAAGTTTTTTGATGAGAAAAAGGAAAAGAAATAATTAGGGACCTGAGAAATTTCAATTCCTAAGAATTTTGAAGGACCAAAGCAATTGAGGTAGGACATTTAGAGTGGAAACTTCTGGGGGCTTGGCTTTAGTCCTATCACTAACGAACATCTGATCCCACTGACAGATGCTCTAACTTTTCATGATTCAAAGACCTTTGCCTGATAACTTTCTGACCAGTAGAATCAACATGGTCCTTGAAGTCTACAAACAAGAAAGATACACGGTCCTTTTATATTTTTCCTTTAGCCATCCAAATGCAAGAGCAACCAAGCATCATACGTGTTAGACTTATTATCTTTCAGCTCTGCAAGATGTAGAGGACTCCGTAGGTTGCAGTTTGACCTGGAAAGGCATTCTTGCGTGAAAAGGAAATGATAGTTTCTTTTTTAATGTTCATAGATTCAGGAGTACTATCAGTTATTAAAATAGCTTGTTGGATACAAAAGAATTCTTCACATTTGGCACAAATGGATCACTGAAACTGGAAAGAGGATGATAAAAGAAACATCTGTGTGAACCAAATATGTGTGGCAACAGGGTTTGACAGTTCCACTGTATAAATATCAATATCAAGTACTAAATTATAGACAAATACTGCAAATATAAAAGAAGGTTACTTTTAGATTACAGATTATGGCCACACTTTCAACAAAATTGCTCCTACCAAAAAAACAGAAAATGGATTCTTTTATGGGTGACTTGCATTTGCCCATGGGAACAATTTTATACTTATATTCCTTGATCAAAGGGGCAGAGTAATCATTTCCTTTATCTTGATGTTGGAAAGGCATATTTATTAGCTGAGTCTATCAGCTGTTCACCTCAAAGCTTCTCATTACAAGCCTTCCTTTTAACCTCAACCTATGCATGGCACTGAGCTATAAAAGAACCCACAGCTTAATGCCCTCACGTATAGAAGGAAGAAGGAAAAGATGCTGATACATGAACAACAGGCATTGTTTTGATGAAGCATCATGGACTGAGCAAGGCAGTGAATTATTAGGCATAAAAGAAAAATGAAGACTAGAAATAGAAGGCTTTTACCTGGTAACCTTCAATTCTACCAGTATGAATCAGTGGGGTGTGAAGTTGAGAGGTGGGAATAAATGTGGTTGCTTTTTTATTACAATACCAAACAACTGTCAAATTCGAAATGTAGTATTATCTGGATTTCCTCTCGCCACACCAAGAGATGGCTTAGTAGACAAAACACTGATATCTTATAGAGAATGGAAGATAAGTTTCAGAATCTGACCTATCTGGGTTCCAATCTTACCATTATCACTTATCAACTGTAATTTTGAGCAAGTTACTGTCTCTCTCTGCATTTCAGTTTCTTTTTCTGCAAAATAATAATAGTATCTTTCTCTTAGTGGTACTAGATGCTTTAAATAGCTAAAATGCCTATTTTCAGAACACAGCATGTAATAGGCAGTCAGTATATGATTGTTATTGTGAAAGTACCTTTAACATTTTTAAGCTATTGAAGGTTATGAGCTATAATGAGTGTTAAGAAAAAGAGGGAAATTTGCTCTTTCTAGTTATCATTAGGTCTTGTATTTGCTAGCTGATAATTAAGAAATCAGTTGACAGTGTCCACTCTAAAAGAACTCTAAAAGAACCCACAGTATTATAGTAGTATAGCTATAGACCACTGAAGAGTCACTACAATGAAGTCACAGCTGAGAAACTCAAAAGCCTGTTTAGACCTTGGGACATTTGCATAGTGAGATCTGTCTTACTGGCTGTCACCACAATACTAGGTACACGTGAAGAAAACAACCTTTCAAACTGTCAATCTCAGGCAACCAGAAATAGCTAATTAGCAGAAAAAATTACGAAAGCTAATGTGCTCTCTTTCCTCATTCCTTGGCTTCTCTGCATGAATGCATACAGCCCAGGCCTGGGGACCTGCCTTACTTATGCCTTATTTAACTCGACCAACTGGGGGGTGTTGTGTCAGTCTGAATGAGAGCCTCCTGGGGCTGGCGGAGCAGGCAAGGGAGTAGAGAGTCTCTAAGACTCCTCAGAACCCTGAGAAAGTTACCTATTAGTTCCCGGCCTCCAGCAGGAGCCCTTGGCACATTTTCCATCTGCTTTTCTCCTTACTTCTTTCACAACATGCTGTGATCAAAGGAGGCTATTTTTAAAAAGTCTTGTAGATATATAATGCTATCATTTTGTGCTGGTTTTTATAAAAGTCACAGCAAACTATGATTCCGAGGTGAGACAATGCAATTGGGTTACTCACACACAGGAAATGGAGACCATTATGAGAGAGGGAATGAAGATTGTTCAATTTCTCCTTTTGAATTGGACCAAATTTTGCTTCTTGATCATGATAGGTAATTATTTAACTAGTGCAAGTTAAATGTGTAAAATCAGAGGAAAATAACTTTGCAAATGAAACAAGGTTGCTTGACACATCTGTTTTTGTTTTCAGGAAGGACTGAGGATGCTTATTTCAAGAGATCTAGATTGCACCAATACTGTGTATGTCCAGTTTTCACTTAGATTTATAGCAAAAGGTAAGCTATGTCTAGAGATTTTAATTCATTGTTTTCCTTCAAGAAAATTCTCCAAGCATAATTCCTCCAGAAAGAAGTACTGTACTTAAGGACCTACAAATTTTGTTGTATAAAAGAGCTAATATAAATTGGTGTACATGAATGTTCACAAATGTTCTTCTTTAGTGTAAGATAACTACTGATTTTTAGCTGATTTTATATAGCCATAGTAATCTCAATAGTTCCATGGTAGTTAAATTTATCATTATGTCCCTGAGTCTTTCCACCACTATTTTCTAGCTATAAGAGCTTTAAATTAAATTTTTTTAATTTATAAAATTTTGTATTTTCTTTTAGAGATGTGAACTCACAAATACCTACTGTTTGTCATTCTGACTTTTCATGTTCTTTTCCATACTTTTTATTGATGTATTATAATCATACATAATGGTGGGATTTATTGTTACATATTCATACATGCATATGACAGTATAATTTGGCCAATATCATTCCCAGAACTGACTTTTCATGTTTAACTAAATGATTTTCTTTTTTAAAAAATGTCATTGTGGATATAATAAATTTTCAAGTAGTTTTTTGTTTGTACCTCAAGATTTAAATGTTTGAGCCTTGTAAAATTACCATGCCAGTAAAATAAAAAATTTTCAATGTAACATTTCCTAAATGAGAAGTGTGTGGGCACATAGCTAAAAGACAAAGGGAGGTATTGTATATAAATCCCAGATTTGATGTGTATTTTTTTAAGATACATTTGTATAAAAAAAACTCAGCCTGTCATCACTTTCATATACCTTTGAAGCATTTGAACTATAAAACCTCTATGTAAACATAAACCAGCTCATGCATTGATGCTAGAAGAATAGCTACAAACATACTATTTCCCCATTTTTATCACAATACATGTTATGCCTTTGTTAATTTCTTCCTAGGTACCCCAGAGAGGTCTCACTCTGTTTTGCTACAATTTTCTATCAATGGAGGAATAACTTGGCACCTGATGGATGAATTTTACTTCCCTCAAACGACCAATATACTTTTCATTAATGTTCCCTTGCCATACGGTGCCCAAACCAATGCTACAAGATTCAGACTTTGGCAACCTTATAATAATGGTAAAAATGCATGTGTTTTTCTGTGATCAAAATTGCCATTGGAATGTTAATATACTTATTTCTCAGGAGTGGAGAGAGTGTCAACCCAGGGACTTAGCTGTCCACAGCACACGTGTGCTACATGCCTCACTTTTGACCTGTCTCAATGAATACTTAACTTTATGTATCTTTATCACCTCTGCACACTTGACTAGTAAGCTCTCTTGATGGTTAAATACAGCTGAATCCTGACACAGAGCTAATATTCTTTTTAAAACATCCAGCATTATCATTAGGCACTCATTAGTTGTAAGTACATTTTTGTTGAATTCATTTAGGAATGGTTCTGAGTGTGGCATTTCCTTAGTGAAATAGAACATGATAGCAAAACACCATGGCCAAGGGAAACGCACTTAGACAAAGCAGTTCATGTGCCCAGTAGAATATCTTGCCACATACACTTGCTTCAGTGATAAGTTAAAGTGAATGTATAATTTAATGGCATTTTCAAATGGTTACAAAAAATGATTGTAATGTGTAATGTTTTATTGCTTCCAATATTTCTATTAACTGTTGATTACAAAGAACCAGAATTTACTAAATCATGTATGTTGTAATTGCCCAAATAAGCACAGAGATACCACATTAAGCAGAATTCTTTGCAGAGATAATACAGAAATGAAGAAGAAAGAAGTACTTCCATCTCTAAAGTATGAATATCTCCTTTATTAAGACATAAAATTTTAGCTTATTTTGAAAAAATATATAAAATTATGATGGATTTTCATCTAAATTGATTATCATAAATATATATGATATTATATATGATTATTTATGTATATATAGGTCTACAGGTAGATATAGATGTCTTGTGTGTATATATGTGTGTGAGTGTGTGTGTGTGTGTATGTATGTGTATCTCCTGTATAATCAACAAATAAAAATACAAAAAATGAATATAACCAGTTCAAAATCCAGAGGCTTGCTGTCTCCATACTATGTTCGGAATGCTCACAGGGTTTTTGTTTTTAATTGTATTACCAGCCACTTCCAAAACAAGGAAACAAAAGAAAGCATTAGAGTAAATTCAACACATTTCATTTAAAGTATTATGTTAATTCTGCAGGCTTCTTTTATAGACCCTTTTTTATATTTTGTGAGAATTGTACTAAATGTAGGAAGAAGCCAGCTAGAAGGAATCTTGACATTTCTACTTGGCCTGGTTTTATCAGCTTGCTTCAAATTCAGTCCAGACAGTGCTTTGTAAAAGCAGCCTGGGTTTTGCCTTCTCATCAGCCCTGCGGCATGTTCCTTAAACACCTGGCCTACGTCACTGAGTCAAATCGTATGACTCACTAGTTCTCTATATATTCCCGAATATCTTTAAATAAGCTTTGGAGATTTTGAAAACCATTAAGGAAAAATTAAGCATTATATATTAGAGTATTTTTCCTTTGTGTTAACTGCATTTAATTGTTTATTTATTTATCTACCTGGGCAGTGTTTTAAGGGCCATAGTCCTTCCACCTAAATGAATCCTGGTGCTAAGTCATGGTTTGACCCAGTCACAAGTGGCTCCTTGAGTAGACTAGTTACTATACCTGGTTCTGAGTCCGACTGCCCCTCTCCACAGACCAGACATCTTACAGATTTCCCCAAACCACAAACGACTCAGACCCCACCCTGCGTAATGCTACTGTAACTGGAAGGACAGCACACTCCCACAAGCCATTTGTCAACGCTTTCTGAAATTAGCGAGGCATTTCTGTGCCGTGTCAATTTATTATGGTTGCAAGCTTAAATTTCTTCACACTTTGATCACTGTGAACACGCTGTCATATCGTTTGTGGGTTTTGTCTAGAAGGCATATGTTTGACCTATTGTTACTGAGTTCTTTCTGTCCTTTACTTTCTTCCAATGAGCAAAAATGTCCATCTGATTTTCATCTTTGGAAAAACTTGCTTTTATCTAAAAATGCCTTAGGTAAGAAAGAAGAGATCTGGATTGTTGATGACTTTATTATTGATGGAAATAATCTGAACAACCCTGTGATGCTTCTGGATACATTTGACTTTGGGCCCAGAGAAGACAACTGGTTTTTCTATCCTGGCGGTAACATTGGTCTTTATTGCCCCTATTCTTCAAAGGGAGCACCGTAAGTATTTAATTGAGAAGGTAAAAATAAAACTACGGCTCTATACAAATCCTGATGAATTCTTACCTAAGTGGATTCCTTGTTGTGCTTTGTTTGTTTATTTGTTGAATAACAGTGAGGAAGATTCAGCGATGGTGTTCGTTTCCAATGAAGTCGGTGAACACTCAATTACCACCCGTGACCTCAATGTGAATGAGAACACCATAATACAATTTGAGGTATTTAACTTGATTCTATCAGGAATACTTAAAACTTTTAGATGGAATTTGAGAATATTATGTTAAGTAAAATAAGCCAAACTCAGAGGTCAAGGGTCATATGTTTTCTCTCACGTGGAGAGTAAAGAGGAAAAGAAAGGAGATGGAGGGATCTCATGAAAATCAAAGGAAGATCAGTAGAATAAAGGAAAGGGACCAGAAGGAGGGAGCAGGGGAGGGAAAGTAGAAATACTGGGGAATAATATCAGCCAAATTATATTGTTATATTGTGTGCATGTACAAATATGTAACAACTAATCCCCCTAAAATGCAGCAATAAAAAAATGGGAAAATATTTTTTGTTTTATCTTGAACAAAAGCTACAAAAGTAGAGGGAAAATTCAGATAATTTCATGCATTATGACTTCCATTTTTGTGCAAGGGCATAAGAGATTTTGGAGTAATAATTCACTTTTATTAGCAGAGCTAATAATGTCATACTAACATTTATTTCTGAGTTTCTGTCTTTTATTGATGACATAGTGTCCCCACCTACTACAATAAATTGTTGAAATAAATTATTTTGACTATTATAAAAATGAAAAGGATCATATTCTGATATTATTATATTCATTTTCCATGTGAAATTTTATATTTCTTAGGACCCAAATCAATCTCTCTCTCTCTCTCTCTCTCTCTCTCTCTCTCTCTCTCTATATATATATATATATATATATATATATATATATATATATATATCATCACACTAATATGGATTTTACAGATAAAACAATACTGCACTGTTTCATCAGCTTAAAGAAATTTGCTGTGTATTTTATTAATATTTTTATACTCCTTATGTTTGTCAAGAAAACAGATTAACAATTAAATAAAAACCTTTACATATTTCAAAATCTTGGATAAAATCCACAGAAACAAAGGTACATTATAACAGAATTTCATAGCTGAGGTCTGTACCAACCAATCAGCAGACTTATTTAAAATAGTGCCTAATTGTGTCATCACAGTTTTGAATATTTTAGACTTTCTGTCTGTATTCTCTACATTAGAGTTATTGGTTACAATCTCAGAAGTTAAAAACCAAATGATAGTGGAGAAATTATTTTGTAAACTTTGCTATATTTTCTACTATTATGCTTTAAATGCTAATTAAAAGGTCATACCTTTGTCTCTTTTAAGAGTTGTTACTAATGAATTCAAAGTAGAAGCAAGTACCTATAGTTGAAAAGTTTATCAAAAACCAGTAGTTTACTCATCATAAGGGAAAAAGAGTAAACATATGTGCACATACACACTGCATATCATTAACCAATGGCTGTGATGGCATGATAGAACATGTTCATCCCAATCTGAAGGGGTGTTTTCACAGGAAGAATCACATGCATGTAAGTTTTAGCTTATTTCCCTTGAAAGCCTTGGTTCAGGGGATGAAGTAGTTGTTTCTCTCATGGTATAAAGGTCTTTACATAGAAGCAGGTTATCAGGAGTCAGATGAGAAGGAAATGGGAGTAGGTCAAAGGATACAAACTTACAGTTATGTAGGATTAATAAACTAGAGACCTAGTGTACAGCATGAGGATTATAGTTACAAAAATAATATTTTTGTAAAGTGTACTGAATTTTGGTAAGAGGGTGGATTTTAGCTGTTCTTACCCCCCACACACATCCCAATACACATCAAAAGGTAACTGTGGAGGACTAGGGTTATAGCTCAGTGGTAGAGCACTTGCCTAGCATGGGTAAGGCACTGGCTTTGATCCTCAGCACCACATAAAAATGAATGAATTAATTAATGAATGAAGTTATAAAAAATATATTTAAAATTTTTTTTAATTAAAAATAAAAAGGGTAACCATGGAAGCAATAGTCAGGTTAATTTGCTTAACTCTATTGGTCATTTCACTGGGTATATTATATCAAAACAGCACCCTGTCCACCTTAAATACATACACCTAAGGAGRAAAAAAAAACTCTTTCCTTGTGCCAGGGAAATAATATCTATTGTATTCTATTTTGTTTTGATATTGAATATTGTTGAAGACGCTCCATATGTATAACTTCTGGGATTTCTTAGAAGGTATCAGAAGAGGAAAAACAGAAAGCATTCTTCCCTAGCAGACTAGGGGGAGAAGCTGACAGGATTAGGGAAACAACTCTTTTTATTACAAATTGCTTGGTTTGGTGATGAAAATAGGCAAAAGGTAAAATTTGGAATTCTCCCAGCCTTTTGCCTTATCCACTTCCTGGTTTCTCATAAAATGAGGGAAAATAAATTTTTCATGAGGTCTTTTGAGGTTCTTTATGAAAAAAAAATGTAATTTAAAGGAAATATATGATATTGCTCAGGCAAAACAGAATCTTACAGTGTTAAATATTTCAGTGAGACAGCTCCCAGGAAAATGGACTCTCTGGAAAATAATGAAGTGGTGAATCATTTCAAGGCTTGTCGCTCTGAGATAATTTGTATCATTTTTTTTCTTTTATCCCAAGATCAATGTTGGATGCTCCACTGATAGCTCATCTACTGATCCAGTCAGACTGGAATTTTCAAGGGACTTTGGGGCCACTTGGCACCTGCTGCTTCCTCTCTGCTACCACAGCAGCAGCCACGTCAGCTCCTTATGCTCCACTGAGCACCACCCTAGCAGCACCTACTACGCGGGGACCACCCAGGGCTGGAGGAGGGAGGTCGTGCACTTCGGGAAGCTGCACCTTTGCGGGTGAGGACCTGCTGCTTGGCACCACTTTGATTCTGAGCCTGGCTCAGAATTTCTGTCTTCATTCCTCCAGAATGAAGAATTTTTATTCTCTCAAGTATTTTGCAAAAGAAAGTAGTCATACCTTTCAAGATGGAAACTGTCGCATTTGACAGTTTGTTCCTGAAGTCATCGTTGACTTGCTACTCTATCAGGGAAAAATTCCACCTTCCTCTTCTTTCTCAGTTCTCACCTGAACCAGATGGATAGGTATTTAAAGCATAGGACAGAGAGTTGATACAGCTGCTAACTTACAGTTTGAAGGTAGATTTAAGAGCACTCTGTGGACTGTACCTGTGACCCCACCTCACTATATAAATCATTCAAACATCTTCCTGTGTCTCTCATGCAGGAAGTGGGAACATATGGAGGATGGAAGCCCAAACACATTCCTGGTGTCTCACTAAAAAAAAAAAAAAAAAAAAAAAAAATCATTAGCACTTTTCCCTCAGGCATTTCTACTTTTTCAACCCAGCATTCTTTGACTTTTCTGTTGAAAGTCCTGGAGATAAAGGACTTCAACCATAATAAAAATGAAATAAAGAATATAGTTCCAAAAATAAAGCTAATAGTATAAGTGAACAAAGGGAGGAAGTCAACAAAGCAGCCTGCCTCAGAATTTCTGTCTGTACTTTCCGAATAAGGAATTTATTATTTCAGAGTATGTAAAGAAGAAGAAAGTAGTACTATACTACTTTCAAAATGGGAATAGATTTATATTTCTGATGTGAAATTGAGCATAATTAGAATTCTTGGGTATTCAAACAAAACTACTACTAATACTTAGTACTTTTCCAAAAGAATGAAAGTGAATTTTCCAAAGTCTGTGTCTTCTTTGAACATAAATCCATTTCCTTCCTCATCATCAACAGCATAAGTTTCATAATTTGACTGCTAAGGACTTAAATGTTTTCTGTTGTCACCTAATGTCACTTACTAATCCTTGATGTTACATGAGACATTATTTTAATAGAAAATCCAGCTAATTTTAAAAAGATAAATACTACTAACCAAAATGTCCCCCTAGTTCCTTGGAAATGATATCCAGATGAGGCAAGTAGAGTCTCTGGAGAGAATTCCTGAGTAGAGCTGATAATTCAGTCTGTGCAACCGAAAGCTCCTCTTGATTCTTACAGCTTGTCTACAGAAGAAGTAGGAAGGGGAAAATAGCTCTGGAAAAACTTTTTATCCAAAACCAGTTGTATTAAAGATAGTTTATTTCAAGAAATATAAAAATTATTCTAAAATTGTTGAAGAATTTATTGGAAAGATATTAAGAAATTACACAGACTCCATTCAGCAAGTGTGAGGACTTCAGCAACAAAATGTGATCCTCATTTTTTAACATGCTAATATTAGCATCACTCAGCGAACCACAACTCTTAATTTTCTAGGGCTCTCAATTGCAGGTTTCCTAAAAATCTGAACCAATCTTTGGCCAGAAATCCAAGTGTTGAAGCAGAAGCAAAACTTCCAAAAGACCATGCCCGTGGGCAGGGTAGTCAGGGGGAAAAGCCTGGCTATCCAGTCACATAGGCAGTCAGTACTGAGTATGATCGTTCATGTTCTACCCCACCCCAGAATTCATCCGTTGAAATCTGGACCCCTAAAGTAATGGTATTAGAAAGCGGGGTCTTTGGGGGAGGTGATTAGGTCATGAGGGTAGAGCTTTCATGAGTGGGATTACTGTCCTGTAAAAGAAGTTCCAGACAGTTACCTTACCTTATCTGTGAACCCCAGAGGAAGCCCTTACCAGACACAATGTTCTTGCTTCTTGATCTTGAACTTCCAACCACCAGAACTGTAAGAAATAAGTTCTGTTGTTTGTCAGTCGTCCAGTTTATGTTCTTTTGTCTCTTAAACAGACACACACAGACACACACCTACGACTAGAACATCCCATCAAACTCCATCACTATATTGCTAGAAGTGCCAAGTTTTCCCTTTCGTGGACCTTGGTTTTCTCCAATTGCCCAGCTAAGAATTATTAGGTAGAAAAAACCCCTTCAAGATAGGTGGTAGGCCATGATTTTAGATTGTTTAACTGAGACTTGCTTCAGCAAGTTCCCAATATGGAATTAATGGCAATGCTGTCTGAAGGTTTTGAAATATGGTCAAAAAGATCTGCCAGTGAGAGCCCCCGAGTAAAGATGCCCACACCAGGACAATGTGCACGTCATGGAGACCACCACACTTGGCAGCTGGTGATGCTGCTTTGCTTTGCTGACTTGTAAACAAAGGCAACATAATTTTGGAAATTTGAACAAGAGAAATGCAGACATCTAAATTTTCACCCACTGATAAAAATCCACTTACAATCCTACGTTATTGTGTACAGAATTTACACTGTCATGTCCTTTGTAGTCTGTGTTGTTTTATTTCTATGAGAAGAAATTAAATGGGTTAAGGAGGCATGCCCATTCTCAGAGTGGTATAAACCTACCTTTCAAACTGCCTTCAGCCATTTCTGTGAGGGGAAAAATTTGTTGTCTAGTCCTTGTTTCAGGGAAGGAATTAGCACTGTTTTTAAAATGCACACAGGCATGAATTGCTGGAAGGCAAAAGTTAAATTTTCTCCAACTCAGTGAACCATTTCTTGGTTTGTATTCAACATGGCACATAGTAATGGCTCAAGTGCTAGCTGCTAAAAATATATAAAATCTACATTGAAATTACCCCTGTGACTTTTTGGACACTAGAGAAAGACACACACACACACACACACACACAAAAAAAAAAAAAAAAAAAAAAAAAATATCAAATATTTTCAGGTGGCAAATGTTTCATATTTTGCCTCTGCATACTGCCCATTTATATTCAAAAGCCAAGTATTGAGTTTCCATCTGATTTTATTCACATCACCTTTGTGTCCTTTTAGTCTAGAATCTTTTGTCTTTAAACTTCCTAATTGTTTTTGCTTTATGCAGTTTCATAATGAGTCCACCAAAAACCCTATTTAATGGAGGCAGCGCTGTGTGCTTGAAATGTTAAGTTTATGTTTAGAAAACAGATCCTTTCAGTAACACTGGTTTAGGAGGACAGGTGCTGACATTCACCAAGGAGAATGAGGGATTTTCAAAATAAGATTTTGGCAGAAGGGAACCACAGCGAAACCATACCCTTCATACCATTTATCATAACGCCTGCAGTTTCTGTCAAGGCAGGTGAACAATAATAAATATCCAACCAAGGTGGTTCATTTGTATTCAGAACATTTGAATAAATAAGAAGTTCAAAAAAATCCATGTAGGCTTTTGTTCAAAGGAAAACTCCAGCCATTTCCCTCAGCTCAGCAGTCTGGAAGTTCAAAAGGTAAGAAGTGCTTCTTGCCAAGACTAAACTCTGGCAAGTATTTGAAAATAAGTTTAATTAGGAACTGGCATTTTGGGGGCAGCTTAGTATAGTTGGAGTCTTGATATAAACAAGGAATGAGAGTTAAATTTATGTGTAAGAACTTGACTCCATCTCCTTTGCTATTTTCTAAATTTTAGAAGCTTAACAAATACATTTCCCTCTCAACCATCCATCCCCAACTCTAGTATTTGACTTCTGAGTTTTGTTTCTCAAATAATAAAAAATTATTAAGAATTCAGTTTCTATAATAACAGGAAATTGGGCAGATTCTAAATGCACAAAAGTATGTGTACATGCCATCTCTATATCCTGCCCTCTCTAAAATAAATCCATCTTCTTTGAACTGAGTTTTATATATGATAAAATATACTAAACTATTTCTAGACTGCTACCTAAATATGTAGATTATTTCCAAGGAGCTAATTTATCATCATTAACATAAGACAGTTCATTTATTTATCTTTGAGTTTTTTAAAAATTAAGAAATTACAAACTAAAAATATAGGTGATTTCTTGCTTTTTCTCTTAAAAATTTACTGAGTATCTACCGTGTATGAAAAATAGAAATGGGCACCATGGAAAAATGTGAAAAGGGAAACATGGACATTGACTTCTACAAGTTTCTACAAGTGAGGAAATTATCACACTTTGAAATAACTCCAGCTATGATAACTATAATAATGGAAATTCCATCAAAACTATGGAAGGGATCATGAGAAATAAAAAGTTTAGTCATAGATCATAAGACCCAACAATTACACTACCATTCTACCCAAAAGAATTCAAAACACTAATTTAAGCAAATATTGTACTATATACAAATGTTCATACCATCACTATTTACGGTAGCCAAAAGGTGGAAACCACCAAGTGTTCATCAATTGATGAATGAAAAAAAATGGTATATTGATATAGTGGAATATTATTCATTCATAAAAAGGAATGAAATTTTGATTTTTGCTAATGTGGATGAACCTTAAAATCATGATGCTAAATGAATGAAACTGGACACAAAAGTCACATATATTCCATTTCTATGAAATGTCCAAAACAGGAAACCCCCAGAAACAGAAAGCAGATTAGTGGTTTGTCAGGGGCTGAGTGGGCAAAGGGGGTTTCTTTTGGAGGTGATGAAAATATCTCGTAACTAGATAGAGACAATACAGTGAATGTGTAAATGCTGCTGAACTGTATACTTTAAATGGTTAGTGGTTAATTTTATGCTATATGAAGTTTACCTCAATTTGAAAAATTAAAAGGTTTGTTATGCAGGGTATATATAATAGAGATGGAACCTTCATTTAGGTATGAAATATTGAAAAAGGTGGGCAGGTCAGGTGGTGGAATTTTTACATATTGATAGAATTGCAAGGGGCTTGCGGAAGCAAGAAACTTATTGACAAAATTCTGGAGATTGGAGACTGTAGTTTTGTTCCTGAAATGGCAGATTATGTTTTCTGCTTTTTGATTGTGGTACACAGGTAGTAACTTCCCATTGCTTATTGATCAGATGTGCTTACTCTAAAGGTGTATTGTTCTGTTGATTCATTTTTTAAAGACTTGTACCTCTTTTCCAGATCTGTACGCTTCAGATGGTATCAGGGATTTTACCCTGCAGGCTCTCAGCCAGTGACATGGGCCATTGATAATGTCTACATTGGTCCCCAATGTGAAGAGATGTGTAATGGACATGGGAGCTGTGTCAATGGAACCAAGTGTATATGTGATCCTGGCTACTCAGGTCCAACCTGCAAAATAAGCACCAAAAATCCTGATTTTCTTAAGGATGATTTTGAAGGTAGTCTTTTCATAAATTCTGTGTAACTTTATAAAAAAACTTATAAATTGAACACAATTTGTGATATAGAATTAAGTATTAAGTTCTCTCAAGTATCAGTTTTATCAAAATAATTGTAAACACTGAAGAATTCATTTAGTTCTGAATTTTTTTAGGGTTTCACTTTTGAAATAATCGTCAACAAGAGAGAACAGGACCTTTATAGAGAAAAAACTAAGGCTATTTTTACCACTCTTTATGTCACATGTAACTTCTGATTAATGAAAATTTTAGAAAATATCTCCAGAAAGTTAGTCTTCTTGGATGGAAGAAATGATTTATCATAACTCTAACTTCCTTTCATTGCTTTTTCAATAACTCACTAAAGAACCTCTCATTGCTTTTTGGAACTTGCTTTTACACCTCTAAATCCAGCATCATTATATATGAAGATAATGTCACAAAGTAGAAAAATGTACATGATGTAATGATTATATAAAAGCATTTAGATTGTAGATGCACTATGGCCAAGCTATGGATAAACATTTTCTAAGAGAAAGTCTTATGTCATAGCTATCTATGTTAAGATAATGAAATTTAAAATTTTTCTTTGTTTTTCCCAAATTTTCTTTAAAACTATATATCTATGGTTTTACAGTACATATTAAAACTAGATTTAGATATAAACAATAGAACATTATACTGCCATAAAAAGGAATTAAATATGAATACATTTTAAATCATGAATGAATGAACTTTGAAAACATGCTAAGTGATAGAAGCCAGCACAAAAGGCCACACGGTATATATTTCAAATATATGAAATATCCAAAATATGTAAATCCATAGAAACAGAGAAAAATTAGTGGTTTCCAGTGGGTGGAGGTGGAAAAATGGGGAGTGACTGCTTAATGTGTACAGATTTCCTTTTGGGGCTATGAGAAACTTGAACCATTAGCAGTGATGATTGCACCACACAAATAACATACTCAATGTCACTGAATTTTTCACTGTACAATGGTTAAAATGGTAAACTTAATGCTTTGCATATTTTACAACAAAAATATAAAAGATCTAAGATGAATATCTGAATAGAGTTGAAAGCTGACTTTTAAAGCCTTATTTAGGCCAGGCACAGTGATACACGCATGCTGTGATCTCAGCAACTTGTGAGCATTAGGCAGGAAGATTGCAGGTTCAAGGCCAGCGTGGGCAACTTAGTGAGACCCTATCTCACATGAAAATAAATAAATAAAATAAAAGGTATTGTGTCCAACGACAACTAAAAATTAAACATAAATAAATAAATAAAATATTTTGTTATCCCTGTCTAATACTATCCTCACATTAGAAAGGACACAGTAGAAAGACTGGTGGAAAGCTTATATGTCCTCCCTCACTTTGGGCCCACATACTCTCTCTCTCTCTCTCTCTCTCTCTCTCTCTCTCTCTCTCTCTCTCTTTTTCAGTGTGGAATAATAAAAAAGAGGGACCCATCTGGCTGGACTATTAATCCTCAAGGAAAGACGTTTCCTTCTATCATGTGGGCTCTTAGATTATACTAGCCCAGGCTAAACAATTCAAATAAACTAATACGTTGAAAAGGAGCCTTCTCCCAAAATACACTTTAATATTTATGACTTTATATTTAAAAACTATATGGTGGTGCTGGCAGTGTAGCTCAGTGGTAGAGCACTTGCCTACAAGCCCAAGACCCCAGGCTCAATCTCCAGCACTGAAAAAAATAAAACAAAAAGTACAAAATGTATTTACTATATTCCTTTTAAAATAGAATAATTATCCTTGGGGTTCATGGGTAAACTACATTTCCCACTTTTTTCAGGTCAACTGGAATCTGATAGATTCTTATTAATGAGTGGTGGAAAGCCATCCCGGAAGTGTGGAATCCTTTCCAGTGGAAACAACCTCTTCTTCAATGAGGATGGCTTGCGCATGTTGATGACTCGGGACCTGGATTTATCTCACGCTAGGTAATCATTGGAAGACTGCATTGTAATGTATGATAATGGACCTAATCAAAACGGAAAGAAGCAGAGAGATCTCAAGGACAAGGCCTTCCCTTAGAGATGCTGGACTTCTTCCTGGTGGGAGCCTCCATTAAGACACAGTTCATATCATTTCCAGTCAACACTGAAAGATTAGTTCAATAGGCACATCAGAAATGAAGCACAGCTAAACAGACAAAAGCTAATATCTATTCTTTTGTAAGTTTGAGACTGGCAAATGACAATGTTTGATTTACTTTAACTTCAAGAAGATGATATTGCATCTTCTTTATCCACATTCTACACACTTTTCATTAGTACTTGGACTATGCAGAAATTATATACATTTATTATAACACACGTAGCAAAGAGCTTAGTTGAAATGCAATACGTCCTTAAATTATTCACGGTTAATTTTATCTCCACTAGCAATTTTATTTAAGAACATTTGAGGCATGACCTTATTCTCTATAAGCATCTTTCCAATGATTCACTCACACATTCTAAGAAGTCATTTTCTAAATTGAGCACAGTCACTCAGAAACAAACATTTTAAACTGGCTCAGAGGATTATGTCCTGTCAAGATGTGTATCCCTTGATCATTTGATGAGCCAAAAACTTAAGAAAGACAATTTAACATGTATAAAATGGAACCCTGACCTATTTTTGCAAGTGAACAAAGAAATCGTGTTTTTAGTTTTCGAAATATTTCAAAGTATCTTAAGATATGTCTTACATATTCATTGCCTCTTCCATCTAAACCTTTATTGATCATACATTTTATCACACTTCATAGAAAATATAGTTCTATCTGTGATATAATAATTTTGCAGTTATAGAAAGTAAGACTTTAATTATATTTATTCCATTTTAATATATATAGTTTAACTTGATACATTTTACTTTAGATTTTTCACTAGAAGCTAATTTCTCTAATTTAGAAGTTACTAGTTTTTTCAAATAAGTAATTCTGATATGCTTTTTCTTAACTACCAACAACTTGGTAGTTATTTTATCACTAAATTAATATAAACATATTCCTAATATAAGTAGACAATATTCTGAAAATTTTTCTCTGTAAATAATTAATGTTTTTATGAGTGTAACTATCACTAGGCACTAGCCACGTATGTTTTCTTTAATCCAATGTTAAAAGCTTCATAATATAGCTCATCTCAGTAGCATGCTGTGTAGGATTTGCATATATTGACCTGACAATGCTTCATGTAAGATCCCAATTTTTCCAGGGTCATGAGACAAATAAATGGAAGGTGGGGAAATCATGAGGAATGAATTTTTTTTATATGGTACTGATAACATTTATTATGAGCCCCATTACATTTCTCGTGTTTGGCATGCATACGTTATTAGGTATGTATGTTGAGTTCTACATGAAATTTATTCTGCATTACCAACTATCGTAGTGTCCAGACCAGGCACCAGCAGCTTGTCTGCCAAAGATAACATGTGAGCTCGTTTTCACTGGCACCCCAGCTGCTTGCTACTGCTCTGTCCACCTCCCTGCCAGCTAGGAAAGCTGCCACTGGCTGGCTGCCACAGTTCTCAGCGGCCAGCATCATCCATCCCCGGACCCAGCAACAGACAGAGGCTGGCTCAGCCCACTACCACCAACCACCCACACCCATGCTTCCCTGCCTCTGGCACAAAAGACAGAAAAGAGGTCCAGGCTTGACACACCTCTTCCAAAAACTGCCTGGCCTTTTGCAAAGAGGTGCTACAACTGATGAATTTAAATGTGTCTCCCAAAACCAGCGATACGAGATCTGTAAAAGTACTGGTGAAACCTGAGAATTGATTTTGCTGATAACGTGGCATAATCTCTATTAATTCCATTCTTCTAGTTTCAAATACTAAGGACTAGAATCCAATTTATCTTAAGTATATAACTACACACTCCCAAATTAGAACAGCCTTTGGATCCCTCCCATCATCTTATGGAGTAGCCAAAGGGTGCAAAGAATGCTCACTTCCCTCAGATTCTCCTCTGAGGAGAGATTTGAGATCCAAATATGGGCACAGAATTGCCATTTTTCACACTTCACATTTAATTAACTCCCTTTCACATTAAAAAGCAAAATCAGGCTTTGAAGTGATTGCTTTGGACATTCATTAAATCATCATTCCTTAAAGCCATTCATTCCCCCACATTATCCTTGGTGCTTGTATTCTGTTATAATATGGATTCCTCATTGAAGTAAAAGTCTACAGTAAAGTTTACTAATGTCAGATTTGTGCAGTTCTTCATGAGACTGGGATGTGGTAAAGGTGTTCCAGACCCTAGGAGCCAACCTGTGCTTCTACAGTATTCTCTCAATGGTGGCCTCACCTGGAGTCTCCTTCAAGAGTTTCTTTTCAGCAACTCCAGCAACGTGGGCAGGTACATTGCCCTGGAGATACCTTTGAAAGCCCGTTCTGGCTCTACTCGCCTCCGCTGGTGGCAGCCATCTGAAAATGGGCACTTCTACAGCCCCTGGGTTATCGATCAGGTCAGTCCCTTCAGGATTAACTATTTTAATTTTTGTCACTTGAACTGAACATGGCCTTAGAAAGCATTTAGTCCAATCCCCTTACTCAGTATAGGAAGTCCAGGCTAATTTAGTGACTTGCCTAAGGACACACAGCTAGATTAGATAAGGGCTTTAGCTTCCTTTCATTCACTGGTCCTTCAGTTGCGTAAGCCCATGAAAATAAACCATGCAACAGAAGGCCTAGATCCTGCTCATAAAGAATGCTGCCATATGGATCCAGAAACTTTATCAAGCCTGATACAAGGTTATAATTCCCTGAAAGGAAAATGTGCAAAACTGGCATTGGTGCCACAGAAAGTCAGCCATTTTCAAATCTTCTTTCCTGGCCTTTAAAGAAAAAAAGAGGAATAAATCTGCTCAACGTCTTTATGGACTACCCTAAAGGAACTTCATACATAATAGAAGAGAAAAAGTACCTGTGAACAAACAGTAGAGTCCATTGAATGAATTGGAACTGAAATGCCTCAGGGTACAAGTGTCCTTAAATAGAAATTTTACATAGAAAATAATCACACGTAAGCCAAAGTTTGCTTTCCCAGCTTGGGTACATATAGTTTCCAAAGGCACAGTTTGGCCAGTGAATGCTGTGAATGGTTTTGTCAATCCTTTGATTTGTTTTCTCTAGCTTCTTGCCAGATGGGCAAGCAGACCACATAAACAAGAGCATTCTGAAAGGCCCCCTAACATTATGCTAGCTATATAGTGCCAGCTCTGAACAGACTGGCAGATCAAAACAAACAAACAAAAAGACTGAACTTTCCCGTACCTTAAAGCCAAATTGAGAATTTAGGGTGTTGCTTTTATTTTTTTTAACTCTATTTTAGATTCTTATTGGAGGAAATATTTCTGGTAATACAGTCTTGGAGGATGATTTCACAACTCTGGATAGTAGAAAATGGCTGCTCCACCCAGGGGGCACCAAGATGCCCGTGTGTGGCTCTACAGGTGATGCCCTGGTCTTCATTGAAAAGGCCAGCACCCGTTATGTGGTCACCACAGACATTGCTGTGAATGAGGATTCATTCCTACAGATAGATTTTGCTGCCTCCTGCTCAGTCACAGACTCTTGCTATGGTAAGTCATCCATCTCCAGACAGGGCCAAACATCTGTGGCTACCTCTGCTCTAGGACCATTCAGAACCTCTGATAAGTCCATGTGTGATACATAGGTGAATTGTGAGTTTCTGAAATATTATTGAATTTTGTATTCAATAGGTACATTCTGACTCAAAAAGTTAAAGTCCAGTAAGTGAGCAATATGATTTTTATATGTACTTGTATAGTCATGAATTTTATTTTTTTTTTATTGGTCGTTCATAACATTACATAGTTCTTAATACATCATATTACACGGTTTGATTCAAGTGGATTATGAACTCCCGCTTTTACCCCGTATACAAATTGCTGTATCACATCAGTTACCCTTCCATTGAT